GGCCAAGGAAAAAAAAACTTGGCTAGTCTCCGCGTCTCCTGGCATCGATATTACACCAACCCAACCTCTCAGTGCAATGAGTAAGGTTCTACCGTAAGGTTGGAATCAGTTACTACGCTTTGATTTCAGCAAAAAAAAAAAAAAAACCCAAAAAAACGAAGCGATGCACTCGTGATTTCTTCTTCTATCTGTCGCGTCCGTTCAGGACGTAGGCGATCGTGGCTCTCCACAACTTTCTATCTCATGTTGCTCCCACCCCCGTTCCGCCACCCGTTTACACAAGTTCATCTCGCTGCTGCCTTCTATCTCGCTTGCCCACAATATGCCCCGTGAGAGTTAAGTTTTCCAAGCCTTCCTTCCTCATTATATCCAAGGAATTTCAGCTGCCTTTTCCTGATTTTCAGTTTGAGTGTTTTTTTCTGTTACCATTTTATTTAAAACATCTGCGTTGCTTACTCGCTCTACCTATGGAATTCTCAGCATCCTTCTGTAGAACTACTTTTATGCTGCTTCTAGTTTTGCTCATCCTTAGGGAAATTGTCCAACATTCACTGCCATATAAAAGGATGGATACCATATAGCAATCCAGCTTGTTTTTCTTTGTTTCTAACGAATTTGTCCTGTTTCTCATCACTTTGCTTAGTTTTTGAAATGCCTCTTTCGCTAGTCCAATGCCTGTTCAGTTTCTCAGTGTCACATTTTCCATTCTTTGTTAAAACGCTTCCTAGGTATTTGAACGTATACATCTGTTTAATGTCTATATCTCCAATTCGTAACCCGCATTCACTGCTCTCGCGGTACAGATATAAATTTTAGTTTCATTCAAATTATCTGTATGTACATTCAGTAGCGTAGCTAGAGTAAACGTCACCCGGGGCGGTCCGTTCAAATGTCACCCCAATGACCCCGATTCACCCTATGCTGAATGGTTATTGTGAAGCAATTTTCATACATGCTATCTATTTACTCTCTACTTTACTCTACTGACATGTACGTTACTCAGTTCAAATCAAAAGCTATCTAACATTGCTATATTTCCCAACAATTTATTAGAAAATTTTCTGACGGGGGTACAAACTGGGGGGGTCATAAATTATTTCTGGGGGGGGTCATATGCCAGCCTGCGAAACCCTGTGTCTCCACCACTATTTTCAGACTATTTTTTTATCACCTTAGCCTGGTTGAAAAATTTTGTTGGGGGTGACATTGTGTCACCCTCCTGTGCTGGCACCCTATCTATCCGCCCTCGCACCCCTCTTAGCTACGTCACTGTGTACATTACAGTTCAAAAGTTTGAAGCCACCACCAGAATTAACATGGGATAAATTTGACAGGAGAGTGAAAAAAAATGAGAACGCTCTTAGAGTCATTAAAAAAGCAAGGACTCAATTATCAAACTTATATTTTGAGAAACTTTTGCAACAAATGCCAAACATTAGTGCTGCAGTAATCAAGGCTAAAGGAGGATATTTTGAGAAGAGCAAAATTTATTCATAAAATAATGTTTTTCTTTTTGTAATAAAATTTTCAATAAAAAAACATGCCTCACTTTTTCTTAACCATGTATAATAATTTTCTCTTATTTAAAGTAAAAAAAAACAAAAAAAAAACAACTACGTTTGGAGCCAATTTAAAAAATTACCAGGGGTGGCCTCAAACTTTTGAACTGTAGTGTAAGTTTGAGTGTGCATGTGTATATTCTAATTCAATGACAGATTTTAAAATACTTAAAATTTTAAAAAATAACTTAATTTATTACCGAATAATTTCCTAAAAATTCAATAAAATCTTATATCTGATTTTCTTAGGGTTTTAAAAAATAACTCTTGACGTCCGTGCGCTGAAGGGAGATAATTGCGAATAGCGTCTCTTCCGTGTGCCGTGTCCCTTCAGGAAATGGGCGATCATGGTTCTCCACAACTCCCTGTTCTATCTACCTTTTAACAATATTTGTTTTTTTTCTTATCTGTACTTATCCCCGTTTTGGCAACCGTTTATGCAATCTCGTTAAGTAGGTTATTCTCAGATTTGCTCTGCTCTGCTTGCCTTTAAAATATCCTTTGAGTTTCAAATTTTCCAAACCTGCTTTCCTCATTATGTGCCCTATAAATTTCAACCATCTCTTCCTAATTATAAGTATAAGTGTCCTTTCTGTTTTCATTTTCTCTAAAACTTCCATGTTGCTCAATTGTTCAGTCCATGATATTCTTAACATCCTTCTGTAGAACCACCTTTCTGTTGCCTCGAGTCTCTTTTTTTATCTGTGAGCAGATTGTAGTCACTTTTATTTCAATGTCTCGATTCCTCATAAGAGACGTTTTCTATCGAAGTTGTAATATCATCGCATGTTCTTCTGGCTGCTTCAAGTTAAATTAGAACGGAAACAAATTTTGGGGATTTATAAAATTTTGACAGACAAATGGAAGTAAAATTATACGATAAGTGATCTCTACATTTGTTCGTTTTAACATAGACCGTATAGCTGTCATTCTGTAGGTGAATAAAGACGCAGAAGCAAAATTCTGGAAAGAGAGATGCTTGACTTGGAAAAACGAAAACTCAAACAACAACAAAAATAACCTTGGGCTGCACCCAATAAACTAGTCATAATCTGGAAATAGAAGATTAGCAGACAGGTCAAAATAAACTTTTTCGAGATGCAGTTGAGACCGTTCCTTAGAGAAATGATAATTAACTCATATCTATATAGAAGAGATATCTAGCTATCTATCTTGTTCATATCTATATATCTCTAATCTCTCTCTCTATATATATATAGCATATCTATCTTGTTCATATATATATATATATTCTTCATATATATATATCTATAAATTTTGTTCATATATATATATTATTCATATCTCTCTCTCTCTATCTCTCTATATATATATATATATATATATATATATATATATATATATATATATATATTATCTTGATCATATATATTTGTCTATTTGTCTTATTCATATCTATCCATCATATGCATGTATCTTATTCTCATCTATCTTGTTCATATCTATCTATATTCGCCATATACGTCTATCAATTTTGTTCATATCTATATTATTCATGGCTATCTATATATATATATATATATATATATATATATATATATATAATTATCTTGATCATATATATTTGTCTATTTGTCTTGTTCATATCTATCCATCATATGCATGTATCTTTATTCTCATCTATCTATCTTGTTCATATCTATCTATATTCTCCATATACGTCTATCAATTTTGTTCATATCCAAATTATTCATGGCTATCTATCTATCTCTATTCTCTCTCTCTCTCTCTATATATATATATATATATATATATATATGTATATAATTATCTTGATCATATATATTTGTCTATTTGTCTTGTTCATATCTATCATATGCATGTATCTTATTCTCATCTATCTATCTTGTTCATATCTATCTATATTCTCCATATACGTCTATCAATTTTGTTCATATTTATATTATTCATAGCTAGCTATCTATCTATCTATCTCTCTCACTACATATATATATATATATATATATATATATATATATATATATATATATATAATGATCATATATATTTGTCTATTTGTCTTGTTCATATCTATCCATCATATGCATGTATCTTATTCTCATCTATCTATCTATCTTGTTCATATGTATCTATATTGTTCATATACGTCTATCTATCAATTTTTTTCATATCTATATTATTCATAGCTATCTATCTCTCTCTCTCTCTCTATATATATATATATATATATATATATATATATATATATATCTTGATCATATATATTTGTCTATTTGTCTTGTTTATATCTATCCATCATATCCATGTATCTTATTCTCATCTATCTATCTATCTTCTCCATATACGTCTATCTATCAATTTTGTTCATATCTATATTATTCATGGCTCTCTCTCTATATATATATATATAATTATCTTGATCATATATATTTGTCTATTTGTCTTCTTCATATCTATCCATCATATGCATGTATCTTATTCTCATCTATCTATCTATCTTCCCATTTGTTCGTCTATCTATCAATTTTGTTCATATCTATATTATTCATGGCTCTCTCTCGTTCTATATATATATATATATATATAATTATCTTGATCATATATATTTGTCTATTTGTCTTCTTCATATCTATCCATCATATGCATGTATCTTATTCTCATCTATCTATCTATCTTGTTCATATCTGTCTATATTCGCTATATACGTCTATCAATTTTGTTCATATCTATATTATTCATAGCTATCTATCTATCTCTCTCACTACATATATATATATATATATATATATATATATAATTATCTTGATCATATATATTTGTCTATTTGTCTTGTTCATATCTATCCATCCATATGCATGTATGCTATTCTCATCTATCTATCTATCTATCTATATTCTTCATATACGTCTATCTATCAATTTTTTTCATATCTATATTATTCATAGCTATCTATCTATCTATCTATCTATCTATCTATCTATATATATATATATATATATATATATATATATACATACAATTATCTTGATCATATATATTTGTCTATTTGTCTTGTTCATATCTATCCATCTTCTTCATATCCATCTATTTTATTCTTATCTATTTATCTATCTATCTATCTATCTATTTTGTTCATATACATCTATCTAGCTTGTGCGTATCTGTATGTCTAACTTGATCATATGTATCTATTTATCTATCTAGCGATCGATCTATTTATCTATGTTGTTGATATCTATTTGATTATCTTGTTCATACCTATCTTTGATATCTATTTGTCTTTCTATTTGTCTTGTTCCTATCTATCATATGCATATGTGTCTATTTGACTTGTTTATATGCATCAATATATTTATGTTGTTCATATCCATCTAGCTATATATCGTTCATATCCATCTATGTATCTTGTTCATATACTTCAATCTGTTTATCTATCTTGTTCATAGCTGTCTTGTTCAGATCTATCCATTTTGTTCATATCTATCTATCTATCTCAGTAAAATATTTAGATATCTATCTAGCTAGCTGTTTCTCCTTCACTGTTAATATTCAAGCTGTTCAAACATCTATCTATCTATCTATCTATCTATCTATGCGTGTATGTTTATCGATCTATCTATGTATCTATCTATCTGAGTCTGTTCATATCTGTCATTCCGTCTATCTCGATGTGTTCATATCTATCTATATGACTGTCCATATCTATCTCAGTCTCTTCATATCTATCAATACCAAGTTCTGTACGTCTAGATGTTTTTAATGAATAATACCTCGGAATTTGTTAGTAGGAGCGTCGAGTGCTTCTTTCTATCTCTCTATCTATCCACCTTGTTCATATCTATTTATCTAGGTATTTGTCTTCTTCCTATCTATCTATCTATCTTTTTCATATATTTCTAGTTATCTAACTTGTTCATATTCATCTATGTTATTCCTATGCTTGTACCTCTCTATCTTATTCCTATGCTTGTACCTCTCTATCTTATTCCTATGCTTGTACCTCTCTATCTTATTCCTATGCTTTTGCCTCTCTGTCTTATTCCTATGCTTGTACCTCTATCTTATTCCTGTGTTTGTACCTCTCTATCTTATTCCTATGCTTGTAAATCTATCTTATTCCTATGCTTGTACCCCTCATCTTTATTCCTATGCTTGTACTCTCTATCTTGTATCCTATGCTTGTACCTCTCTATCTTATTCCTATGCTTGTACCTCTCTATCTTATTCCTATGCTTGTACCTCTCTATCTTATTCCTATGCTTGTACCTCTGTATCTTATTCCTATGCTTGTACCTCTGTATCTTATTCCTATGCTTGTACCTCTCTATCTTATTCCTATGCTTGTACCTCTCTATCTTATTCCTATGCTTGTACCTCTCTATCTTATTCCTATGCTTGTACCTCTCTATCTTATTCCTATGCTTGTACCTCTCTATCTTATTCCTATGCTTGTACCTCTCTATCTTATTCCTATGCTTGTACCTCTCTATCTTGTTTAAATCAATCTATCTATCTATCTATCTCTCTATCTACGTATTTGTCTTATTCATATCTATTTTCTTCATATCTATCTGTATTCAAATTCATCAATTTATCTATCTTGTTCATATACATCCATCTATCTATCGATCTATCTTGTTCATATATATTTGTCCGTGTATTTGTCTTCTGCATATCTATTTATCGATCTGTTTTGCTCATATCTGTCTATGTATCTATTTTTTCGTATCCATCTTTCTCTCAATCTATCTTGTTCATATCTATCTACATCTTGTTAATATACTTCTACCTGTATATCTATCTTGTTCATATCTATCTATCTATCTCAGTAAAATATTTATATATTTAGCTAGCTAGCTATCTGTTTCACTATCTCTGTTAATACGCTTAAGAAAGGTATGGATCAACTTCTTTCCCCTTAGATATGATATTAAAACTTGTATCATTATACCATTATTATCTATCTAAAACTTGTTCATATGTATCTATCAAACCTATCTGTCTATCTTGTTCATATTGATCTGTCATTCTAGCTATCTATCTTTTTCATATCTATTTATCTATTTGTCTTGTTCATATCTATCAATCGGTCTATCTAGCTATCTTGTTCTTACCCATTCTTGTTCAATATCCATCTATCTCGTTCATATTTATTGGTCTTGTTCATATCTGTGTTGTTCTTATCTAACTCTTGATCTATATATCTATATATCTTGTTCATATCTATCTATCTATCTATCTATCTTGTTCATATGCTTCTATCTATCTTGTTTATATCTGTCTATTTATCTTGTTCATATCTATCTGTCTTGTTTATATCTATCTATCTGTCAGTCTTGTTCATGTCTATCTATCTATCTATCTTGTTCATATCTATTTGTCTTCTTCAGATCTATCTATCTTGTTCATATCTATTTGTCTTCTTCAGATCTATCTATCTATCTAGCGAGCTAGCTAGCTATCTTTTTCATTGTCTCTGTTAATATCTATGCTGTTTAAACATCTATCTTGTTCAAATCTGTTTTGTTCAAAACTATCGATTTATCCGGGAATACCGGGGGCTGTAAGTTTGGATGTGTTTAATGGATAATGGCTCAGAATTCTTAGTCAGAGCGTCGAGTTCGTTATATTTGTTGGGTTATGTTATATTCCTTGACGCCCAAATACGCTCGGGAAAGGTATGGAGCTACTTCTTTTCCTCCTCGCTATCGATTAATTAGTATGACTTTTGTCACTAAACGAATAAATTAAAAAATATTTTTACAATTCAAGAATATTTTCTTGTTTTAAAATAACCTGCAAAGTGTTGAAAAACCATAGAAAAGGAATCAATCAGTCTATCGTGTTCATATCTATCTCTCTGTCTCATATCTATATATCTAGTTCATATCTATCTATCTATCTATCTGTTATGATGTTGATTTGGGGTTAGTAGAGACAAACGCCAAATAACACGTAACAATAAAAAGGGTTTTAATAGGTTGGTAAAAAAGGTACAGAAATCGCCTGAGTAGTCAATAACTAGCTCAGCTAAGAACTTCTCTGTCTATCTGTCTTTTGACATGCCACTATTTAAAGTCTTTGTTCGCAGACAAGTTCATCTTCCAGAGGGGTGGTAGGTTTCCGACACAACACTATCTATCTATCTATCTATCTATCTATCTATCTATCTATCTATCTATCTCTATTTTAATTGGCGCGTTTAATTATGTGAGAGAGTGGGGTGAGAGAGAGAGATTTAAATAATTGGAATAACATTATCTTTGTATGTAGTATCTTTCCGCTTTTCAGTTATTTGGTTTAATGAATTTGCTATGTAACTGTTAAAACTCCTTCCTGGTGACTGATCTGATAAGCCTAGTTGTAAATCTATGCTCAAATTTTCTTTTAACAGGAGATATTCAAACTGATACTAAGCTGAAACTTAATATTAAATAACACTTTCAGTTTTTATAACTCCACCCAAGCACATATGCACGGAATTAATCATACACTTAACACCACTGCTCTTACATCAGTCCACTTCCTTTCCTTATTAAAGATTGGGGCGGGGGGTATAAATCCAAAGATGGGTGAGTGGTACGGTACATGCAGTAAATATAGAAAGCTCAAAATTAATTGTGCGATCAAACTGTTAACTAAATTTTTCAAATTGAAAAACCTGCAAATCTTTTGGATGTAACAGATAACTTACCAATGAGTGCCCCCACCCAAGTAATTTTGCTTCTACTATATTAAAAATGGGGGTAAGGGATGCAGTTGCACACCCGAGCAACCTTCGCTACCCAGCCCTCTTCTCCCAATGGGTTTTATATGTATGCGCATGCTTGTCTTGGTACCTTAGGTCTCTGACCGGGACAATATTTCTGATCCATTTAGGAGTTCTGTTGCCTTGATTTCTGGTTAGACAAGACATGTATACTCGTGGTGTGACGCCTGTATATACTTTCCAATGTTATTTATCTCTTCATTACGGCTGCTAGAAGTAGAGTTTTCTGGGTTTTGGCGTTATCCACCTGATAGGGATCCGAACCTTTAAGTAACTTCGAAGGAGGCTATCCTATCAGCAAGTGTATTATATCGGGGCTATTGCACTGCTATTTTGGGAATGGGTTTTGGGCCATACAGTGGCCTCCAGTGGGACCTCTCAATACCATAATGAATTGTATCTCCGGACAATTCAATCCATACTATTTATGCATTTAGCTCATGTGGGTGTATCTCTCTCACTATCTGGTCTTCCATTAAACACACTACTCTCCACACATGAACGCAATGAAATGCTTAGAATATTGCATCTACACATGACTAAGTGCCCCTGCTATTTACCTTGAGCTCCTTGATTAAAACAAGAATCAGCAATATTATTGGTCCGGATCTGGCGGCTCGGGTTCACTCACTCTGTGTCTTTTCTATGAAATACTTTCATGGTAATAGTTCGAATGAGCTTTTCGTTATGGTACCTAGACTTTTTTAATTTAACCGCAGTACTAGACAGGCGTCAAGATCTTATCAATTTTATAGTTGAACTGGCCAGATGTAGCTGTAAATTCTATGCTAACAGTTTCTTTTCTCGCACTTCTCCCTTGTGGAACTCCCTTCCGGATCAACGCTTTTCTTTAATCAGAAAAAAATTAAATGCAATGTCAATCGCTATCTTCTGTTCTCCTGAATTCTCTTTCCGCTGATTATTAATGCTTTTGTTCCTAATTCTTCCACACCCTGTCACCCCTTGAGTTTTAGTGGCTTTACTGTCTTGCATGGGGTGATACCGATTAAAAAAATACTTAAAAATGTAAACCTCAGGTATATCATCTCCTACACCAACGTGAGAGGTCTACGTTCCAACTTTCTAGGCACTTTAGGCTAAACCTGACCCCCTATTTCTATTAGAAATAGGTGTTAATTACTCAATCCTACAGCAGGAGCTCGACATTCCGGGCTACTTACCATCTAATAGCCAATCACGACCACCTAAATCACCACGGCCACAGACTCAGCGCCTACATTAAGGACGGGTTTCCCTTTAGCAGAGGTGTACAAAACGAGGACGTTGATTTCCCATATATGTACTTCCGCGTGGCACTTATACACAATATCATAGGACACCTCGAGGTGGTGTAATGGTTAGCAAGTTTGTCTCGCTAGATCAGTTACGACTGAGTTCGATCCTCACTGGGTGCCCTATACTTTCGGCCTTGTGCCACATCTGAGCTACGCTTGGAAAATCACTAGGGCACCTCGGCATGGTGTAATGGTTAGCAAGCTTGTCTCGCTAGATCAGTTACGACTGAGTAGTGAGTTCGATCCTCACTAGGTGCCCCATACTTTCGGCATTGTGTCACATCTAAGCTACGCTTAGAAAATCAATATACACAGTATCATATTCATTTCGGGACGCTAATTTTCGACCGAGTATCTGAGAGGATATTTCCCTGAATTTGCCTCAGCTTTCATATCTATGGTGATTTCAATGTTCACTACAAAGAATGGTTAGTCTACTGAAACAAAACCGATGGAGAAGATATGTATTGCAGAGACGTCGCTATTTAACTAGTACAGATCATTGAAGAACCCACGTTCCAGCGCGACAAGACATCAGGCGAACCTCCTTGATCTCTTCCTGACACCCTGCCTGTAAAATGCTTCGCAAAAGCTTCCCCTCCCCAACACCACCGCCACTGGGTACGTCAGACCATTCCCTAGTCAGTGTCCAAATTGATGCCAAAGAAAGGTATCCCCTGATTTGCCTTTCCATGGGATGATTATTCGCTACGCAGACTGAGACATTTTCCTCTAAACCATTTTCAATCATGCTGCCTCTAAAACAACTGCTTTCGTTTCAGAATGGATCCTTTCTGGAATAGAGAGTTTTATATGCCCCCACCCTCCAAAAAAAAAAAAAAAAACGCCAGCAAAAAGCGAAGAGCCAGCCCTGGTTTATTCATGAATGCTTTGCAGCCATCGCTCACCGTAAGCACCATCTCAAGGAAAGATGTAGTTTGACACTTACTGCGTTCAGAACCGCTCGCAATTGCAATTTATTACAACCCGAGAAGTCTCAAGCCACAGCCAAGACAAAATTCCAGTGGCTGTCCTTAAGAATATCAACCCGGAACTATCCCCGATCTTGGCAAAATTATTTAACCGCTACTTGAGAAATCCCTCCCAAGTCTGTGGAATGTGTCAACCATAAGACCGGTTTAAAGGACGCGGGCGAGTGTTCACCCCCCTCTTAGTAGAGACCCATCAGTTTTCTCAGTGTGATTAGCAAACTTTTGAGGTTATAACCAACAAGAAGATCACCTAAATAGGAACAACCTCTTAAGCGACAAGTAGTACGGGTTTCGATAGGGCCGATCCATTGCTGATGTCCTACCTACCACTACTCACAGAATTAGTGAGGCACTGTACAACAAATATATCTCAAGAACCATAGCATTACATATTTCAAAGGCCTTTGACAAGGCGTGGTACAAAGGATTGTTGTTCAAACTCTCTAGCTAAGAAATTAATGGAAGACTCTTCTCAATAATATGGTAGGTAGGTCCTTGAAGCTATTTGTTAATGGCCAGCCTTCCGGTGCCCTAGTAATCAACGCAGGCTTCCCTCAAGGGCCGTTTCTCTGAACAACCCTCTTTTTACTTTACATACATGATCTACCTAAGATTATAATCCGATCATTTGTGAATATCTATGCTGACGATAAAACAGTATAAGGGGTGCAGCTCCACAAGTCTAGATGACCAGATCTTGGTAGATGATCTCTCCTTCACCCCTATCTGTCTATCTTGTTTTTATCTGTCTATCTTGTTCATATCTATCTATCTGTCTGTCTATCTCATATCTATTTCATATATATAAAATATATATCTTGTTCATTTCTATCTATCTTTTCATATATATATATATATATATATATATATATAATATATATATAAAATATATATATATATTTATATTATTTATATATATATATAAAACATATATCTTTGTACATTTCTTTTATTTTGTTTTCTATCTTTTTCATATATATATATATATATATATATATGAAAAAGATAGATATGAATTAAGATAAAAAGAATGTACAAGATATATGTTATATATATATATATATATATATATATATATATATAACATATATATATTGTTCATTTCTAGTTATCTTGTTCATATCTATTTATATTGTTCATTATATATATATATATATCTATATATATTGTCATCTACAAACAGACTGTTTCGCTGTATCACAGCTCATCAGTGTGGTTAGACGTCCTCTAGCTAAGATCGAAACCAGACTGAATTGGCGTCAGTCGGGGATTCTACCACTAAGCCGTTTGCCCACGGCAGAGATAAACACACAGTGACTGAGAGAACTTGATTCGATTTACCGAAGTGTCTTGCATTATTAGCCGTAATAGTCACTGTTTACAAACCCACACTTCTTTCACACAGAGCTCAACTGAAATAAATTTTTCAGGAGCATCTATATTGTCATCCACAGACAGACTGCTTCGCTGTATCACAGCCCATCAGTGTGGCGAGATCTTTTTCATATCTATCTGTCTTGTATATTTCCTAAGCTGAGAAGAACATAATACTTGCTTCTTTTTGTCGGGTCTGATAGCAGATTTATTGAGGAAGAAACACGATCGCGATCGGAGCTGCGCTCAGGTTGAGAAAGCTTAATTTTGTTTTCTCTTTCTGAAAATATAGATTCAGTAGGTAACCAGGAAATTCACCAAAATTCAATCCCGCTTAAAATCTTGAACTCGTAAAAAGAAACGTGTTGAAAATATCCGCTTGGATATGATCGAAAAGCACTAACATACTTGGCAGTATTTAACCCAGATGAATAGGAGAAATTAAAAGACGGACAATAAATGTTTACAACCTTCACTCGTTTAAAAATATTTTTTCGTTTAGACTTATGGAGGAAAATCAGAATGTATTGTTAAAATATGTTGATTTGATACTGCTTGCAAAAAGGTCAGTTTATAATGAAAAAAATATTTATCAATGCACTGCTATAGATAAGAACAAATTGATATAGATAAATAGATATATATATATATGTATGTATGTGTGTGTAAAAGTGTGTGTGTGTGTGTATATATATATATATATATATATATATATATATATATAATTATTTATATATTATATGCGCGGTAATTATTAGAAAGC